AAAGGATTGAGGGCTTAAAGCTGCATATTAAATAAAAATCGAAATTTTTATTCCATACGTATTTTATGCCAGAACTTATTCTGAGGTTTTGTGTCTGTCTTCTGGTGTGTGTGTAGGTTCTTTCTTTCCCACATTTCTCCTCCCATCCCCGCCTTTTTCCCTCCTCCCCTGCTTCCTGCTCTCTGAGATGGGATCTGCAGGCTGAGCTGCAGCAGGTTAGGGGCAAGCAGGAGTGTTCGGCTGAGCTGGGTGCAGGCACCAAGGAGTTGGCAGAGGTTTGGAAAGAAGTTTGCATTGCTTTTTAGTTGTGCTGCATAAGGGTGACAATGTGTAGTGGGTATAGAAATTAAAAGTTACTCTGAATGGAATTCCAGTTCATTTTAGAGGGATTGCAGCTATAAGGACCTTAAAGAAGTGAATGAGGTAAATAATTAGTTAGGAGAAAAAATGAAGCAAGTTTCACTATATTTTTCAATTTGGGGTTGAAGTTATTTCATAACCATAATGGATTAAATTGGCTGACTTTTATCAGAAAAAGCAAGTTTGTTTATATTGGGTTTGCATGGTTTACTCTAGGAAGTATGTTCTGTTAATTTTTTGAAAACTTATGTGGTCTTATAATTTCCATAAAATTCAAACACAGAGCAGTTTGAGCTGTGCTATTTGTAGAAGTAATTAGGCATGTGTCTTTTAAAACTCCTCACTTTATGACGTAAGAAAAGTTGTGAGTAAAAGAGCAGCATAGTTACACTAATATGCCATTGTAGCATGTTCCCATCCTGTCATCTGGAAAATTAAATCAGGTTCCAGCATGGATTAACATCCAGACTTGTGTGGAGGGGAAGGTACTGTCTTAAATGCCATGAAATTGAACAATGGGATTATACAGTTCACAGCTAATTTCAATATTCTGCTGTACTTGGCTTTTTGTTAAACAAGATCCTGTATGGAGAGGCAGGGATAGCTTTTAGAACTTGGAAACATTCACATATTTAATGAAATACTAAAATAATAGCTGGAATATGTTTGAGTAATGAATGCAGTGCTCTACGTAATGTGCGCAGATGTGATGTGGAACCTCCTCTTCCAGAGGGGAGATGTGGGTGTGCTGGCCATGAGAATGCCCTGCCCCAGTGTGGGATGTGTGCTGGGTGCTACCCCTGGGTGGCTCTGTGGGTGCTGCAGTGCCCGTGCAGAAAGGCCTGGCTCTCTGTCCCTGCTCACCCCTCTCCAGAATAACCCCCACGTTGTTCCACTGGGAGGTGACTCAGGCTGTTCCCTCAGAAGCATCTCTTGAAATAGTTGTGAGGGAAACTGCTGCAGAAATAGCCACAGAACCTATTTCATATGGGGATTTCCAGCTCTGTCCTCCCTGGCACAGGCTGTCCCTAGTGAGCAGCAACGGAGCTGGAGCTCCTGGTCTTTGGCCAGCTGAGATTTTGTGGCAGCAGCTGCTTTGTAGGGAGCTGCATGCTGTGGGAAGAGAGCTTCCAATGGTGCTTGTCAGCTTGGGAAGTGAGCCCACACTGGCTGTGCTGAAATCACTCATGGATCTTAGGAAATTGATACAACACGCCATTTAGTAACAAGCTTTTTAAACCTGAGTGTAAGCATTAGGAATAAAATCGACTTTTTCCTTGGTACCAGCAGTTTAAGTTGTGACATATGTGTATTTCTTTGCACTTGTGCCCCTACAAGAAGGGAAGATTGCAGATGGGATGGCGTATTTTACGTTTATTTTGGAATGTTATTGCTTGTATTCTTTCTGCTTTACACTTGCAACTTACAGTTTCCAGTGCTGTATTTCAGCATGTATTTATATTTATGGATGGCTGTTTTCCAGGGAAGTTTGTGAGCCCTTGCTTTAGGCATAAACTGTGTGGGTCTTGTCATCTTTGTGAGCTGACACTACAAAACCAGTTGTAATGGAAGATAAACAGGAGATACTAGGTTACCAACAGCAGAAAAGTTCAGCATGTAGCACAACCTGAATTCTTGTTTTGGGGTCTGGACAAGTTTAGTTTGAGAAGCATCTCCATAATTCCTGTGACTTTTTCCTTTTGGGGGTTAACCTGCACTGTGTTTGTTCCTGGTTTGCAAGGTCTGCTCCTGCTCTCAGCTGAACTCTCAGAGCTCTGTTAAGTTAAATGTGACTGCAAGGCTTCAGCTCAGTGCTTTGCTGTAGCTGGGCAAGAGGTTGGTTGCGATTTCAGCCTGGCTCTTCCCTTGTTCTGATGTCAGCAAATAGATTCCACTCTCCTGAACTTGAAAACAGTATTTTACATGTGTTTACTTTGCATCATTTCACTCGAAAGCCTGTTAAGTACCTGGAATAACAGCGTTCCCTGTTTTGAGTTGCAAAGGGCTTTCTTACTGTCTACAACTACAATGGAGCTGCATCTAACTGTTTGCATGCACTGTGCAAAACAAATTACTGCGAGTAAAAGTGTTTGAAGTTCCCCAAGCTACTTTAGTTTTACAGGCAGAGTTGACAGTCAGTTTTGTTCATGTGTTTGCCAAATATTTCACACGAGTGCTGGAACAGTTTTCACTGATACTCGTGGTGCTGATTGAAGCTGAGTCCTGGGTGCTGGCTTGGCCTGTATCTGTTTGTTTTCTCTTGTTCAGAATAACTTGGATATCATGTCTGTTGTGATTTTTAAGCGATTTGTGCTTATTCCTTCAGGGGAGAGCCTGCTCTGAGTAGTTGTGATAGCAATGTTTGGCCTGAGGACAAGCTGCGTCCCTGTGTCCCACGGGCAGGTGGCAGGCAGGGCAGTTCCCTCAGGTGGGACCATCGAGGCAGGAGCAGGGATGGGTTTGCTCAGGGTGAGTTCAGCTGCCCTGAGCTCTGGAATCTCCCCCAGCCCTGCTCAGACCTCTGCCCCTGCACCAGGAGCTCGGATGGGGCTCTCAGGCTTCACTGAAATACGCTGGGCTGTCCTTCATGGCAGGGAGCTCCAGGAACGCAGAAGGGCTTTCAGGATGCTAAGAGAACAGGAAAAAGGCATGTTTACACACACACACACACACACACACACACACACACACACACTTACTTTGTATGACTAATCTATTTTGTTGCATTTCTCAAGAATGAGAATGTAGTTTGCCATCTATGGATGAATGTGTTTAGAGCAAACACACTTTGGATTTATGTCAAATTGAGTTCCTCATTTCCCTAAGATAATGGTAAATGATAAAATGTTATGTGTGGCAGTATGTGTATATATATTTATATTAAGTTTGAGAGCAATGGATCAATAGAAGGGGGGGAACATGTAGGTTTCATGTTCAGACACCATTACAAATGTCTGCAGCAATACAAATTTGTTTCTTTCATTGATTTGGGTGGGGTTTTTTGGTGGAATTCTGAACTCTTGCCCTCCATTAATTAATTTTAAAATTATTTTAAAATGTGCATCTTAATAGGTGTGGCATAGTTTCTTTTAGCACTGATGCTGTACTGGCTGTGCTGAAGTGTGAAGCTGTACTGTCCTGTTAATTGCTAACTGTGTGCAGAGGGGCCCATGCCAGCACAGCTGGTCACATCTTTTTTGTGTTTGGACACTTTGCTCACTTACCTGTGTGTAGGCTGAAGAATTTTCAAAGTAAGGCTCTAAGAGGAGATCCCTTGCTCTCTGTTTCTGGTTTGCTGTGGTAATGTAGATGGGTTTGCTGATGTGTGCACGTACAGTTTGATATATTGTATATATATCACAGGGAAATGTTAAGACCAAGCATCTGATTGTCTGGAAAATGTAAAGCTGGAAAGTTTATAAAGGCCTGGGCTGTTGGATTTCTCATGTGAACAAAGTCCACCTTGAGAAGGAGTTGGCACCTGCTGGCAGCAGAGCCACCATGGCCCAGCTCCCCACTCGGGGAACGCTGCTCTGGGGACTCTGGGCTGGCACCTGTGGGGCAGCAGGGGAGGTGCCCGTGCCACCCGTGCCACCCCTCAGTGCTGAGCTGGGTGTGCCCCAGCCTGGGGCCGTGTCTGCAGCACCAAACCCAGCCTGGCACCGAAGGGCGATGCTGCCACGATGCTGTTCATTTGCTCCTGCATTGAACTTGGTTTTGAGCTCTTGCTTGGTTGTTACATGGTTTGGTGTTTGTAATTAAAAAATTATCTTTGTAGAATGGAATGTGGCCTTCTCCGATGTATTCCTTTGAAAAACGGATGGCTTTGAAGAGATCTGTTTTAAATAGGTTGTCATATAAATAATTTCAGTCGTGATATTCTGTTGTTTTATGAACATCTCTAATTAAATTTAAGATAACTTCTCAGGGAATACTACCATATTATTTATTCTGACAGCCAAAGGAGTAAGGACGTTGCATCAGTCTTGAATGCTTGCTACTCTGAAGTGTTCACACTTGTTTTCCTGATGAGAAAGGTTCCAGAGCTGTGTTAATTGCCTCTTTCAAATTCTAGATAAATATTTTTGGGTTTGTAGGGAGCATACCTTAACATAAGTAACGTAATTTTGAGGGATTTGTAATCTAGTATCACTGAAAACTGTCTATGGAAATAAATTAGCAGAGTGCCTGGAGGTGGCAAAACTGGCTGTCTGATTTTAACCAAAATGAGGTGCATTGGGTAACCATTTCCTGGAGATAAGCCCAGGTGGCAAATTGCAGCTGGAAAGATGTAGCCCAAGTGCCAGCCTGAAGTTCAGTCTAGCACCAGGGCTTCTCTTAAAAAGGAATTTATATTTATATATATATATCTATATATATGTGTGCGTGTATGTACACACAGACATTTTTGGTTTCATGTGTTTTGTGTGTGTTTTATGTACAGCTTTTTTCTGTCTGGAGGAGGGTAAAGGGAGAGCCTTGAAAAGTCCTTCCCTGCTCTTATCAGCACAGCAGCCTCAGCTGCCCTCCTTGGATCCCCTGCCAGGGTTGCTATCATCTTCTGATCAAATATTAATGTGTGATTCTCTGCTTGCTCACTAATCCAAAGCCAATTAATATTATCTGTCAATTATTTACAGATCCTGAGGTGCGGAGGCAATTCCCAGAGGGCTACAGTGACCAGGTTTGGAATGCGTAATTAATTTTTTACATGACAAAATTTATTTCAGGGTTGTTCAACATATTATTGCTGCTCTTTTTACTGAAAGAGATAAATGCATTCTTAGAAAGAAAAAGAAGCTGTAATTAGAAGCAGAAGGATAAAAACATTTTTACACATAAAGCAGAAAACGGAAGAATTTGGATCTCATAAGATTGGTTTACAATCTCATTTTTACAAGCGAACATGAGAGCGAGAAGGAAAATTGATTAATAAATTTCACTTTTTGCCTTTAGGTGCCAGAGCCGCAGTTCATTTGGCAGAGCTCTCTGCATTGTCTGAGGTTTATAGCTGTGTTTAACTGGGCACCTGGCACTACAGCACATTTTTTAAATTCTTGCCTGATCATGCAGTCTCTAGTCTGCTTCAAAAAGATGGTATAAAAGCCCAAACGTGTGGGTAGAACACGCAGGGATTTATCATTTGATTTAAACACAGATTGAATTGGGAATTTTTCACAGGATCTCTAGCTGACTGGGGAATTAACACCTCCAGATTGCCCTGTCCTTGCCCGTGCCATGGGGAGTGCCATGGGGGGCCTGGGCTCGGGCAGGGACTGCTCTGGGTGTCCAGAGCGGGTGCCAGGCTCAGCCCTGGGCTGGGGCTGCCGTGGGTGAGCTCCTGCACCTCCAGTCCTGGCGTGGTGGAGCTGGTTAACAGAACAATGAATTTGGTCTCAGTGAGTCTCTATATTGGGTGATACCAGGTTAGGGTCAGCACAGCTATATTAGCTCAGATCCTTTCCCTCTAATTATGTTTTCACACAACATGAAATTTTGTGGCATTTAGACTAAAGCATTTAACAAATTGTTAGCTGTGCCGCTCACCACAGCCAAGACTAATGGTTTCATATTTGGCTGTAATCACTGTGTGCAGTGGGACCTTGACCAGGCCTTCTGGGTGGTTTTGTAGTAATAGTATTTTTTTCAAAGCACCTATTGAACTACCTGACTGCTTTTCACTGTAGTTCATTGTTAGGGCTTGCTGTACACACGGAGTATAGCATGGAACTAAAGCTTTTGGAGGACTGCATCCTTATTGCCAGTGTGGGTCTGTAGGATGTTAATAAACAGCTCTCTGAGTTTGGATTTCCACGAGGGCTCGCTGCTCTTCAGCAGTGTGCTGTGTCTCAGGTTAATCACGAGTGAACACATGGTCCTTCGGAGCTGGGACAGTCACTTGTGTCCAGGATCAAGGTGTTACAGGAGAGCCTTGTCATACAACTGACTTCATAAAATTCCTAACAATCCCCTTTCTTCTGCTGGAAGTGGTTAGACTTGTGTTATATTGCTATGAATATGCAACACTGAATGAAACTCAGAGGAGCCAGAGGCTCATAAAAATTCGTAAGATGTTCACCCAGTTCTAGTCAGAATTTCCAATGGCTGATGTCAGACCCCCTGAAAACACAGAGCTGTGTTTGTGTGGTTTTGGGGTGGGGTTTTACTCTGTCAGATATTTTGCACATGCGAACTTACAGGGAAGGCAAAAGAAACGAGGCTGAACTTCTCAAATCTGAGTAGATTTCAAAGATGTTTTTCCTACTGATGCACGGAAGGAATATTTTCTGATCCTGGAAGCTCAATGTTCTTAAAGAGGAGAACATGTCCAGAGCTGACAGATTTAGATTTGAAAAATCACTTACTTGTGAACATTCAAGTAAGCCAGAGAGGAAGAGCTGCATCTGTGTTTGTCCTTATTGATTTAGAGCTCTGAAAATACAGAAGTTGCAAATCAGTCAAGTTAGGTTTATTTCTTAAAACTTCTGGTTTATTATTCTTTGGAAGAAAAAAAAAAGTGGAAGTGCCAAGTCACTGCAGATGAAAATCCATGGTAGAAACCCCTTGATTTTTCTGTGTGTATTCTGTATGCAAAGGAGAGAGATGATCTGCATGTTAGTGCAGGCAAAAATTGTTTCTAGCAATCAAACATTTATGATTTAATCCAGAAGGAATATTTGAGTTAAATCAACACAAGGTAAAGCACTTATTAGTAAGAAAAAAAAGGAAAAACACCTCAAGTTTTTTTTTATTCATCTAAACTCTCAGTGCTTGTTTTTACATACACTGTATTTCCCATGTACCAGCACATCTGATCAGAGACCCTCGCTGCTGCTAGATGTTTTATTCTGTGTGTTCTTTGTACCTTACAGTAAAAGAATCTGTCACAAATTATTGTGCCTCACTGCTTTAGAAACTGAGAAAAAAGGGAGGTTAGATTGACATCTGTGACTGAATAATGATGACCAGCCTTTTGGCTCCCCTTGAGCCACAAAGCCAGCATTGCCTTTAGAGAGGAAAAAGGAGTAAGAAGAAAGGGGAGGGATAAAAGAGAGTTACAAATCTGTGGTCCCGGAGATGTATTACTGTTGGGCCAGTTGTCTGCGTGGTATGATAATCCATTTTGATCTTCTGTCTTAATTGTCTGCTAAAGACAAATGGGCAGTAAAAGTTCATCAGTTTCATCTTTTGCTTCTCATTTAGAGACAGAATAAATGATCCATGGCTACAGAAGAAACCTTTCTTTCTGACACGGAAGTAATGCAGACCCAACACGTTTTATTAAAATATTTCTCCCTCATTATTTCAGTCCTCTCAGCTCTGATAGATCTTACTGTTTCATGAAGAATGTAATCTGAAATGTAAATAAGGGGTTTGATACAAAGTCAGGAAGTAATGAGCAGGCCAGCCACATTGCAGGAATTTTGATTGTAATTACTGACAAAGTGAATTCTGCGTGTCCTGATTTTTTCCCCTCAAGTTGTCTTTGACATGTTCAGACCACAATGACATCTACGGTTTAAATCTGTTAAATAACTGTATAAGGGAATATTTTATAGAAAATGTCATAGACAAGGTAACTGAGGAGCCTTACCGAGGGGAGAAAATGCTAATGATTGCTCCAGGCCTCTTGAAATGGGTAAAATGGGGCTTTTTGAATGGCAGGAGGGACACTGGAGTAGTCTTGAGATACATTTTAAAATATGAGGCTGTTTTAACTTGTAGGACTGTTTTATAATAGCTTTTAAGAACAAAATGTATATGTGTGTGTTTGTGGTTTTACCTAGCATGAAATCAGTAATTGTTGGTATTATAAGCAACAGTTTTCCAGTGCTGGATTTTCGTCATGACCTCAGAATTTAAACCAGATGAGAACCCTTAGTTTTTTCTTTATAAAATGCAGTCACTGTAGATAGGAGTATCCTTTCAAAAACCAGAAAAATCCTTCTGTATCACTGTATTTTCTGGTTTGGCTTCCTAATAAAAACTTAGTAATGGAGTTAATGGTTTTAGGTGGAATCCTGTGCTGTTGGGATGTTGTAAATACCATCCATGGCAGGTCACCACATGAATTTTGGCTGGCCACTGTTTTGAAGATTAATCCCAAGATGAAACAGCTCTCATGGGTTAATTTAAAGACAAGGAAGTGCAGCAAAGATACAAACTTCTATCAGAAACAATACAGCAAATAGTTGTTGTATAAATATATAGATATAGGAAGCAGTAAAACAATCAATGGAAGGTGTAGGAGGAATTACACAACCTTGGAAAATGCAGTATATTTCAAAATACTGCTTTATTTCGAGTAGTGCATCATTTGGTTGCTGACTGTTTTAATCTGTATAGCTCATCTGGAAAGGAAAGGAGAAATGCTGTTGTGATGGTTGCAGTTTGTGAGCTGCTCTCAGTGGTATGATGGCTTGTCTGTAATTTGATGAACTATTGTATGTTCAGTTAATTACTCCAGGAATGACTGAGGTATGCGTGCTTGCAAGCTGGTACTTATGCAGATTGCTACTTTTATTCTGCTGGTAATTTTTCTTTCCACTGACATTGAAACAGAGTTTACAACGAAACCAGCAATCTTTATACACTTATAGATAAACTATAAAACTTTATGGCAGTCTTTATTTAGAAACTAATGGTCTTTCTTGTACAGGGTCTATGAGCATTGTGCAAACATTGCACACGGGGTAAAATAAAAAGCACTTTCTTTGTGTCATTGAGAGTTGTGTGATTGGAGAGCCTTTACACAGTGCTGGCCACTAATGGAGCATAAACCCCCTGTCCTAGAAAGTCTGTGTGCACTGAGGGCTCGAGCTGCTTGAACAGGGGTGATTATAATCCACTTGGATATTTCTGAATTGCACATCGTCTGAGGATAAACTTTTTACCTTACAGGTTGCATACACAGTATGATAAAACCTGTCTTAAGAGTAATTTAAAAAAAGAGCTGTCCTTTTGGGAGCAGATGAAGGGTGGGAAAGGCTGAGCTCTTAGTAATTTAGAAAATGTAGGAAAGTGGTTCTGGTGTTTTTTGTTTTTAAGCCTGTGGTTGAAGTAGCTGCTGCACATGATCCTATCTGGGAAAGAGCTGAGGTGGAAATGTTTGGTTTCCTGTTTGTGCACCATTGATAGCATTAATTGAATGTCTTTTCACTTATGATACCTGTGTCTCAGAAGTCATGGTGCAGGGCAGGAGTGGTAAAAGTGCAGAAAGCAAATAGTAATTAACTGGCAATTAATGTTTGGAAGGAGCTCAGGAGGTTCCTTGATTTTGGCCTGACAGTACCTGAGGTAGTGTTGGACTCTGGAGTCTGTCTGTGAAAACCACACCAAAAGCCAGTGTCCCGAAGTCAGAAGAATTCTGAATAGAAATAGAGGAATAATTGGGTTCAACTGTGAGGAAGTATGGCCAAGCCACTTTCTAAACCATCTCAGTTCTGTTTAGTGAAAAATTTGAATAGGTATTGGAAGTTTGCTAAACACAATTTGATTTTACTACAGATGATTCAGCGAGTGCAGATATTACTGGCTACAGTCGTATGGCCTTTGTTATACAAGAGGTCAGACTAGATGATCATAATGGTCCCTTCTGGTCTTAAAAATCTGTGAATCTATGAATAATTTAAAGCCTGTCCTGCAAACCCTTATTCGTTGAGGTGGTGATATTAAAATCCTGTG